GTAGGTAAAGGATGGGTTTGACGGCTTGGAAGGGACGAGTAAATATAATGCGACAATTCTAGACACCAGCGCGCTCCTGGGGAAAAATTGCACCAGATTTATGGTTTCGGGAAGAGCATATATACGCCTTTCCCCTTAAGCGGTTTTGGAATATTCCAGCATGAACCAACAGACAAACATTAACATGGTTTTATGAATGACTTTTGCGGTTGATGCCGCCATTAGGATTTCGCCTTGGCCATCTCATCTGGAGCGAGGTATGGACGCCTGCAGGCAGCGGCGACGCCACTTGGTATGTGCTAAGCACCACGAGTCAACCTGCTGCATTGGAAACCCATCCCCGCGAGCGTCTCAGACTCCCACTTGGAATGGTATTGTAACAAGTGCCGGTACGTGCGTCACAATTCCTCGCATCCTCGTTTTGGTCGTTTTAGAGGTTTAGCAAAGCAAAGAATGGCTTGCGTGGTTGAGAAAAGGTGGGCTACAGTTTGTTCGAATCCACTGTTGTTGCTCATGCCACCGGGCTTTGCAGCTTGCTTCAGGTTAGCGTGATGCAATGTCATTGAGGGGCCGATCGCCAATCGCCGCTGCGCACTGGGACGCGCGCATGGGAAGCGAGGCCGGTCTAGGCCAGCCACGCCAACGCTATTTCAAAACAAAAAACAATGATAGACTTTGCAGTAACATCCCTACTGGACAATGGCCGCCATCCCGACCCTATACTTTGCCCCGTTATAAAGCATACTCTCTGATTACTAATATATAGGTTTACTTCCGAAGTGTATTTGAAATACAACTTTGTGATTTCAAAGCACCACTTGCTCTGACCGGACGCAGTGTAAAGATGTAAAGCAACCTCATGAATTGAAAACTATGGATGGCTATCCTACTTAAATATGTGCTTTGTAGATGAGAATAGGGGGGATCGACAGGAGACGATCGACAGGAGAAGATCGTCAGGAGAAGATCAACAGGAGGATCATAAGGAGGATCAACAGGAGAACTCAGTATACAAGCAATGGAGTTACCTGAGAGGCCAGCACTCGGTTACACTTGCTATGAGCATGAACGTGAAGCCCGCTCGCAACGAGGTGGGCGGGGAGGGTGTGAGAACGTCAAGTAATGTCTATCGCAGTGAAGGTGAGAGGGCCTGATGAGACACTAGCGGAAGTAACTACGCGTTAAACTGTGCTAGGCTGGAATAGCTAGGTCTAGAACAAGTGTATCGTGTGAATCTTCGATGGAATTTCTGACCAGACCAAATCTAATACGAAAAGGTGGTTATCCGAACCAGGTGGCCAGTCGAAAATGGCGGCCAGCCAAATGGTGGTTCGTCGGCCAAATGGCAGCATGGGCTCCATTTCCATGTGTTTGGTTTGGTTTGGTTTTATTCATTTACCCGACCTCTCCCTTTTACGGGATATGCAGGCTACAACTATTCTAGTGACTGTTACCCATCTTTAGGCTGTACTAGCTACATGCAGAGGGTTGACCATTTATTAGTCCCTAGGTTCATCTGACCCTGTACTTCCCGTTGTCGTTGGTATAGGAGTTGGTTGGGCATCCTCTGTGAGCGAGCAGGTGGGAAATTGAGGAGCATCTTCATCAATTGACAACTGAGTAGAGCTATCCTATATATAAATAACGAGTGGAATGTACTAGAAGGAGGATTTGTAAGCTTTATAAGGATCGACAGGGGGATCGACAAAGGGGGATCAGTAATGACGTTGCTCGGTAACATCCTCCTCTCTGTTGGTTGTTCTGCCTATGAATCTTTGTACTTCTTCAGCGAAATCTAGCACCGCCTCGAGATTTTTCCTCGTGATAGTCCACTTTCTCTCTATTCCTGATCCATAATTTAGGGGCTTGCCTCTGAACATGAGTGACTAGGAGTTAAACCTATCTCCGATCCTCTTGCGCGACTTTTGTCTAGCTTGTCGCAGGATTGGGCAGTCCACAAGGACATGGACTGTTGTCTCTATAGCTCCACATCCACATCTATCGTCCTCACTTTTTCCGATTCTCTTTCGATATGCTCCCAGCCATGAATGGCCAGTTCTAAGCTGCACAAGGGTTCGCACACGTTGCCTTGGAATTGAGTCATACAAGCCTCGGGCATGGTTAGCAGGAAGTGCCGAATATATACGACGTAGGTGTTCTCCTTTGGTTGACGCTGCCCATTCTAATTTCCACTGGTCATATGCGACCTTCCTGTTGTATGTCCTCTGGAGGGATGCCAATCTTCGGAAGTCGTGTGCTGCTGGATGGTTGGCTACCCTTTTTGCTAGTTGGTCGGCAATCTCGTTCCCGAGGATGCCGCTGTGGGTTGGTATCCATTGGAGGCGAATTGCTATTAGGTGATGCTTTCGTGTGTGGAGTGCAACTTTGATAATCCGACTGACTATGCTCTGTCCGGGTCTCCTCGTTGGGTTGTCTAATGCCTGTAGCGCGGACTTGCTGTCGCTAAGGATTGTATACGTGCGGGCCCGCAGGTCTTCTGCGTGGTCCTTGTCCAGTTGTTCCTGTTTCACGATGTGGATGGCGAACGTAGCGTAATCCTGGGCCCACTATTTCAAGGCGCGTGATCGGAGATGGGTGAAGAGCCAAGAGATAGGCTCCAAGCCTTCTGTGATCGTTGACTTTCCGATGGATACAAGGTTTTCCCGCCGGAAATCTTGATGAGTCGCGCTATCAAAGTCGAAAAGGAGACAGACACTGGATTTGATCTGCCACGCTGGCTACAGTCTTTAGCAGAACTGGCATCCAGGCTTGCTCGGACGAACAGTTGAGCGATGGATCCCGACTTAGATCTTCAAGGGAGGGCGGAGAAGAATCCGCAATGAAGAGGGGTGCAACCGTGGAGACACCCATTAGCTTTGGTAAGTTGAGACAAAGTTGAGTCTTCGCAATACAGATTTGATTTCCTTAGCGTATACCAATCAGCTAAGATTGGAGCATGGAAGTATTTGAAAACTGAGTCAAATTTTAACGAAACTGAGTTGAATTTCCTTAGCGGCTCGGCATCTTTCCTATGGGAGTCTTTTGGGATTTGAGGCAAGCTCCACGGTCCATACTTGAGTGGGCTACTTCGGAGTGTCGAATTCTTCCAAACTGGCAAATAACATCTGTAGGTGTGGCCATCGAGCCATTTCATTGCGCCACAACCCCTATTATTCATGCAACTCAATGACTCTGGGGATGGAGCCAGGGTCCATGCAAAACACTAAAACTGAAGGCTTGGCGTTCCCCGCAACTAAGGTCTCGAGAGGAAAGCGGGCTTGCGCCTCGTCTTAGGTCCTGTAGAGCAACGAAGAGAGGCCCACCTAACATGACCTATCAGCTAACATTGAATGCTGCAAAGTCCCGACACATGTAGGAAATCTGCATCGCCGCTGAAAATCATCCAGGGGTTGTCCACAATGGGCGGTCGGTCGGTGAATAGGAACTTTCTGGATGCCATGCCCTCGCCTTACCTGGTGTGCAGCCATGAATCATTTAGCCGTGTGCTCACGCACGACACAGCACAATGTGACCTGGCCTGCCTCTGACCCGTGCTCGGATTGTCCCAGACTCCAGCTTGGCGCGACCGCGGGTTGGGGGACCGGCACAAGCAGCCAGGTGCTTTGCTGCGCTGAAGAACTCTCACGGCGAAATTACAGTGTCTGCCCGTCCAGCTAACGGGCAGCCAACCTGCCTTTTCTCAAACACGGCTTTTATAAATTTGTTGTATGCCAAAATGCAATCCTCCACGTCGATCTCAAGCCGGCCCGGTATAATAGCGATAAGCGTGTCCATGTCAGATAATAGCTGTCGGGAAATGCCGCTATACGTACTTTACGGCCACCCGGTTAGCCACTTTACGTGCCTGGTTCACTTGGGGCATGAGGCTCCTTAGGATGTAGAGTGTTGACAGGCAGGGCCTTCCAAGGAGCAAGTCCGATTATGACTCTTGACACTATGAGCCAACATAGAAACTTGCAGAAATCAGAATAGGCAATGTTGCCGTAAAGCGGCCTCCTCCTGGTCGGATATACAATCAGCCGGCTTGGCATTTCTCAGCTGTATATAGCCTCTGCTCGCCCTCTAAATTCTGAGGTCCTTAATGCAATCTTGTTCAGTCTCTCAATCTCCACAAGCTCCAATCACGGTAACAGGCAAGGTACTTAAGGAAGAACTTCATGGCTGAGAGAGAGGCGGCTAGAATTTCAGAATAAAATCTTAAATTATATATTGTTTCGTGAACTCCATTCAGACAAGATAAGAATTTACAGTTCTCGTTCAAGATATTTCGACAATACTCGCTACTTCGCTAGCCAAAGAGACTGAAGCCGCCCATAATTGATACGCTGTTCTTCGTCCGCGCTTGCGATCCGAAACACTCGTCCTCCCTCAACAAACCAAACCCGTCGCTCTAACAACCCCTCAAAACCCCCCCGGCACCGACCCCCCTTCTGTCCCGATACTCGACCACGATCTAGTTGACCTGCATAATGCTCCCGTTTTCCCGTGCCCCAACCGCTTCCCCGAGAATACTCTTATCGCTGCACTCGTCCCGGCCGCCCCATTCCTCCTTCTTTTCTATTCCGCCTTTATTTCCCCGACGAGTTCGATTCCCGGACCTGGAATGGAGATGGGGATGGGGATTGGAAGAGGAGGGGAGTTCAGAGAGTTTGTAGGAGCGGGAGCGGAATGAGCTGACGCGGTGCTGGATCACGAGACGCAAATACAGGATCGAGGTCGCAATTATTTGGATGGCGAGCTCGGAGATTGCCGATATGAGGATTTTGTAGGAGAGAACTGTATTCGGGATGAATATATGGGAATAGGGAAAGGAGGGAGTGAGGGTAGCGTAACGTACAGGTGAAGTCTTTCCAGCGGCTGAGGCTCGGTATGTTTATTGTTTTGACGAGGGCGGCGATGCCGGCTCTAGGGGGAAATGTTAGATGAAGGGTGAGGGGCAGGGGAGGGGAAAGAAAGTATTGGAGAAGACGTGACACTTACAGCACGCCCAGATTCATAGCGATGCTAACGCCTACTTTTTCGGTCTTGCTGATTTTTAGGCCCATGATCACGAAGGAGGGGAATGTGGCCAGGACGAGGTCCACGGCGACGGAGTACGCTGTACGGACGACTGAATTAGTAGCTGTATGCAAGGTATGGGAGAGGGGAAAGCGCAACACCCCCAACCAGTAAATATCGCCAACACAATCCGATGATGGGGCTCCTAGCAGCTCCCTTCCACACTCGCATCCCAGACCCGCCGCACCGGCGTGCACTGCGTATACAGCGTGATAGCGCACGCGCAGAAGATCAGGTTGGTCGTGACGATGATGAACCAGATGATGCAGCGTTGCCAGCGGCGGGTTAGTAGGCGGAGGAGAGTTACGGCGAAGGAGGTCTTGACGAGACCGAGCCCAACAGTGATGGGGAATTCGCCGATGTAGAGGTATTTTAAGGTTAGCACGAGGCTTGGGGGCGAGATGGTGCTGATGTGTGAGCCCAGGCCATAGTAGCAAGATATAATAAGAAAGGTGGTGTAGAGGATGAGGGTGAGCTAATAGTTACGTTAGAGTATACAAAAAAAAATAAAAAATTTAAGGAATAGGGTAGAAGGTAGGAGATAGGAGAGACTAACCTCAACAAAATATAAGCCCTATAGAATAGAGCAATTGGGAGCAGGAGTAGAGAGAAGATACTTAAAAAGCAAGAAAAAAAGTATATCCCTAAAATAATTTAAGGATAGTCGTCTCAGCTAAATTTATAGTAAGATCTTAACTTATACTAAAACTATAGTGCTAAGAAGAACAGAGATATAATAGTTATTACCTATAAGATAATAACTATCTTTAATATATTTAACTTAAACATATTAAAGTTACAGATTAGCTAGATAATAATTAAAAAAAATAGAATAATAAAAATAATTTCTTAAACTATAGTAGTAGATATTTAGATTTAATAGTGTATTTAAATAATAGTTATATTTATACTAAGTAATATATAGTAATAAGCTACTTTTCCGTACTACTTAGTTATAATAAAAGAGTATAATACTAAAAGAAGCCTTAAAATTAAAGTTAATAGTATATATAATTATTTATTTAGTCTACTATTTAATAATTAGTTTTTTTAATAGTTCCTAAATTAATAGTCTGTAGTATAAAGTTGTTTTGTAAAAAAAAAAACTACTAGCTTATATACTTCTATATAGGCTTATTTTTATTTAGCTATTAAGTTTTAGAAATTAGAAAGTACTCTAATCTCTATTATATTAAATTAAAGCTATTTTACTTATATAATTTTACTATTCTAGGTTTTAACAGGTGGGGTATTTAAGTTTTATTATTAGTCTTTCTATATACATTTAATTTAGAGTTTTTATTACTAGTTTTATTCTTCTCTAATACCTTAAGTTTTTAAGTTCTAATTATATTATCTTATTTCTGAAATTTCTGTATACTAGTTAATTTTATACATTCTCTTCTAAGCTAAATAAGCTGTTTAATAATTATAACTAAGTAAATTCTAATATAAGTCTATTATTAATTAATTTAAATAAAAGTCTATAATAAAATACTTTGTTAAATCTTTTTTTTAATATTTATTTCCCTTTTCTAGTTTAATTATTTTCTATATATAGTAAAGAATTCTTTTAATCTAATATTAAATTCTTTATTAATTAAGCTTTTTTTATTATTTTAACCAGGCTTTCTTTATAGCTCTAGTAGATATAAATATATTTTTCTTAATAGTTTAATACTTTAGCTAGAGCTAGAAGGGCTTAATAGTATTAAAATTAAATAAATTCCTATACTAAAACATATACTAAACTTTATAAAAGTTGAAAACTTAACTTTAAATTTAATATACGTGTGCAAGGGCCTTATTTTCTTATATAATTATTTTAAATCTATTCTTTATATACTTTTATGTAAATAAAAAAAGCTTAGAAATAAAAATCTTATATTAATAATACTACTAGTTAAATTTATTTTTATTTTCTTATATATGTGATAACGGGCTCGGTCTTTATGTATTATAGTATAAATATAAGTTAATAAAATAAGTTAGCTCTATTTTAGCTATATTAAAATAGAAAAAAAAGAGATATAAGGGGAGCTTATCTTTAAATAGAATAGTATATAGTTTAAGTATAAACTAGCTATACTCTAAGCTCTATACTAAGTCATAATTAATATAGCTAGTTATAATATTATATAATTTATAATAAGTTAAATAAATAGTACTATTACATTACCCTCTCTCTAAAGGAGGCTTATTTTTGAGTTTTTAGGTTATAGTTTTCTTTTTACTAGTCTCTATACTACTCTTGTTTTTGAAGCTGTTTTATTATTTTTCTTTATTATTTTCAGATCCTCCTCTACTTCATATGCTTTTAATTAGGCGTCTAGTTATACTAGTAGTTCTATTTTCTTTAGATAGGCTTTATAGTAGTTTTTTATTTTATATAAAGTACCTATAAAGCCTTAAGTATTATACTAAGTAGAATCTAGATTATAAGCTAGCTAAAATACTTTATACTATAGTTAGTTATAAAATAAATAGCTATTAAGGATTTCCTATACTAGCTACTTAAAATACCTATTAATCTTAATAGGCGGTTTCTTAAGTTTAATTTAGCTAAATAATAAGTAAGTAAAAGCTTTCTATAGGTAGTTTATATAAAAAATATTAAGTATACATATATACAATAGTAGCTTAAGGTAATAGGAATATCTTTTTATACTTATAATAAAATAGAGTCTATATATCTGCTGGTTGAGCTTTTGGCTAGGTTAACTAATAATAAAGCCTTTAAATATAATATATATCTTATTTTCTATAAAGAAGTCTGGCTTATAGCGCTTTTTATTAGCCTATTAAGTTTATCACTTTTATATTTAAATAATCCCTTATTAAGCTATCTTTATAGCTAGCTTTATTATATTATATTAAGCTTTAGCGTAGCTCTATACTTCCTTATAAGATATCTATTTATAAATTATAGTAAATATCTTTATACGTTCTTCCTAGTCCTAGTAATAGATTAGCTAGTAACTAAATTTAATTTAATAGAATAATAAGTCTATAATCTTATATAATAGAATTGCTTAAGTCTAGTGTATATAGAGCAGTAGGTTTAACTAGTTATTTTAATAGTAATTAATAAATAAGCGTAGGCGCTGGTTAATATACTAATTTAAAACCTTAATATTCCTATTAGTTTAGAGATAATATAGTATTAAGAGTTTTTACTTAATTTCTATTAGTTAGTATAGCTTATTTATAAATGCTAAAGTAAACTAAAGACTATAATTAGAGACTATTAATCTAAGTAAACTAAATACTTACTAAATATAATAATAGTACTTATTAGCTACTTGAGTAGCTATAATTATTTTATAATAAAATAATAAAAAGCAGCGCTTACTTAACTAGTTTATAATAATAAAAATATAGTTATATCCTTTCTTATTTAGAGAGAAGGACTTAAAGTCTATAGAAATATTTTACTATACTTATTTAAGAATTAGTAGTAATTTAAATAAGCTTAAGGTCTTATTATAAGATATATAGCTCTATTTATAAACTTTATATATAGCTATATAGTTATCTATATTTTTATTTATATAATTTTAGTAATAGTGGTTATGAAGTAGCTTATTTATTTTTCTCTTACTTAAATAAATAATCACTTAAATAGTATAAATAGCTTAAATAAAGTAAATTCTTAAGAAGTATATAATAAAAACTATTAGCTTACTATAGTATATAAAAAGGCCTTAGCTAAGTTTTTATACTAAGTAGTTACTAGAAAAAGTATACTCTTAGAATAGCTATAGACTCTTATAACTATAATTCACCTCAATAATACAATTAATTAGTAAGTAAGAGTTATTTAGAGATAATAAGATTATAAAAGTATTAGTAATAATTATTTTAATTATATTAATAATTAGCATACCTCTTACTGATAATATAGCTAGGTTATTATTTATAGTTTTAATAAAGCTAATATTAATTTACTCTATTAAAAAAAAGATACGTGTTTAAGCTATTTTATTTTTATTTTTTTAGATTTTTAGTTTCTCTTACTTGCGTAAGAGCGCGTCAGCTATTATATTAATTATATTAAAATAATAAATAAGTATTAAATAATAGTTTACTATACTTATTATTTAATATATCTAGTAGAAAGTAAGCTTGTACTTTATAGAGAAGTATTTTAACATATAATAGTTAGTTAGGGTATTAAATAACTTTATAATCTATAGGCCTATAAGCTGTAAGCGCTATTCTTAAAGGCTATAAATTATAGCTAATATTTTTTTATTATATATATCATAGTTTATCTAAGGCTTACTTATAGTCTTAGAGTAGAAAATTATAAATTATTAGAGACTATACTTCTAAAGCTATAATAGTACTTTTATAATAACTTTATTATTTATATCTATCTCCATGCGTGTCTAATGGTAGGGTGAGTAGTAAACTAAGATATTATTTAATAATATTAAATCTTTAGCTTATTAAAAGACTATTAGCTTATATTTACTAAAAACATATTATATACTCTTCTTAAGTAACTTAATAAGTAATTAAATAATACATTTATAGTTTTTTAAAAAGGCTTTATAGAAATTGTAGAATTTTAAAAAAGATTATAGACTTTTAACTAACGTAGGTACTAGCTATTTTTATATAATAGTAACTTTCTTAAGGTTTTTTTAAATCTCTTTTGTGCTAATAATAAAGCCTAGGAACTTTATTCTAGTAATAGTAAACTCACTTTTTTTTAATATCTACTTAGAGGCTTATATTTTAAAGATATCTTAGTACCTAAGTAATATACTCCTTATACTATAGCAAGTCTTTAAAGTAGATTAAGATATTATTAAAATAAGTAGTATAGAAATTATCTAGTAAGTTATAAAGCACCTTATTAATATAGTACTAATATAGTAGGGCTATTATAGAGACTAAATAGTAATATATAATACTTATAGTTCCTATATTAAGTACAGAATATAATTAGGTCCTCTATATTCTTATTTAGACATATATAATAAAAGACTTGTTATATATTAAGCTTAGTAAATACTTTTATATGTGTTAGCTAGATAAGACTCTTCTAAATTAACAGAATTAAATAAACTTTTTTTTTTATAATAGTATTAAGCTTATAGTAGTTAACGTAGAAGCGCTACTCTTTTCTAGGCTTTTTAGTAAATAATATTAAGAAAATATATAAAGCATTACTATAAGTAATAATACTTTATTAAAGATAGTTATTTAAATAAGTCTTAATAAGCTATAGCTACTTAAAAAATATACTATATAATAAACTTAATATTAGTATATTCTTAGCTATTAGTTTAATATTATAGTTAATATCTTTATAATATAGGGGTAGTATGTCTGAGTTTTTCTTTAAAAAGTAAGCCTAAGTTATACTAGTATAGCTAGAGTAAAATAGTTTTTATTTAATAAGCTATTAAAGTTTCTTTTCTCCTATAAGATCTTTATTTAATTAATAGGGCCCTTTTAGTAAAGTCTTTACTAAAGAGTCTTTAGGGTTTTAGAAAAAGAGCTTTAAGTCTAACAGACTAAGCTTATCTCTATAATTTTAAATAAGTTTATTTATTTTATAAATACTAATATGCTCTAGTATAGTTTCCTTTTATTATATAT